TAATATGCTGGCTGTACTGAATGTACCAGAGAGGGCCAGAAATCGATTAGGGTATACATCCACTCTAGCAGTGGTCTGGGTAGGAAGGAATGGTAGCTTGGACTAGTGTAGGAGTTAAGGAGCTAGAAGGAGAGACATGGGTGGATTAAGAGATATTTAAGAAGCAAAATTGCCAAGATTTGGTTAATTTTTCGTTGAATAAAGGGAATGGAGGAGAGGAAGTTTCAGGGATGACTCCCAGAAACAAAGTTTATGGTTTGAGCAGCTGGTTGGATATCAACAAGGTGGAAGCCAAAAGGACATAGTAAATAGGCAAGTAGGGCAGTCTGAGGACTAGCTAGTGGAAGCAACCCCAGAGCTATGGGGGGATTACACTATTGGTCAGATACCTCTGCTAAGCTTTGGAGGCACTGTTTTCCTGGGTCTCCATGACTACTCTGGATGTCTCTGTATTCTGGGTGGAACCCTTTAGCAATAAAAGAGCCTTGTCTAGTTAGGTGAAGCTTTGATTCTCTTGGGAAAAGAGTCTTCCTCATTTACTCCAAATCTTTGAGAATAACAGTAATAATTCAACAGCCATACACTGCATCTCCATCAAGGATTGTACTTTTCAAAGCACTAGCACTTGTACGTATGTGTTCATGCAAAGCTAGGTGTGATGTTCATTAGAGTTCTGAATCCCCAAGACCTCTGTGGGCTTAGGAGTGGTGCCTAATGGTAGAGTCATGGACATTCATGTTTCCCCAAGTCTTTGATCTTCAAGAGCCATGTATTATCCAAGGCAGAAATCAAGATCCTGAAAAGGGGACTTGGAGGAACATATGAGGCCTTGACCACTAGGCACAGAGTGTGCTTGGCACAGCAGGGAGGCTTCTTGAGCAAGGGAGAGATGAGGTCAAATTGTTCACTGGGAGGTAGATTGTAAAAGGCCAAGTAGGCCTTTGTAGGAACTTTGTAAGGACTTTGGCTTTTACTGGAAATGAGATGGAAACCACCGGAGAATTTTGAGTGGAGAAGTGTCATAAGTTATCTTACATTTTAAAGGATCCCTCTCACCGCATGTTGGGAATAATCTGTAGAGGGGCAAGGGCAGAAGCAAGAAGCCCAGTTAGGATGTTACTGCAAAATCCAGGCAAGAGGTTTTAGGTGACTTGGATCAGAATAGTAGTAGTGAAGATGATAATAAGTAGTTGAATGCAGATATATTTTGATCATGATAGAAATAAATAGTATTTCCTGATAGGTTGCCTTTGGGGTATGAGAAAAAAAGAGGAGTTAAAAAAGAGTCTAAAGGATTTGCCTGAGTGGGTGGAAAGATGGAAGTGCCATTAACTAAGATGGTGAAGGATGCAGGGTTACACATTTGAAGGGTGATGACAATCAGATATTCAAATTTAGACATAGTGAGTTTGAGATGTTTGTTAAACATCCAAGTAGAAAGACATCAAATCAGCAGTTGAATATATGAGTCTGGAGGTCCCAGGGGAGGTCTGGGCGGCAGATAGGAATTTCAGAGTCGTAAGCTTGTGGTTGATCCTTAAAATCATGATACTGAATAAGATATCTGAAGTGTGAGTGTATACAAGGAAGAGAAGAAAGCTAAGGACTAGCCGAGGGCACTCCAATATTTGGAGTTAGGCAGTTAGCTTGGGGAGTGAGGGAGATTCGTCAAAGGAGACAGAAAGAGTGGCCAGTGAGATAGGAGGAGAACCAAGAGAGACTGGTGCCTTAGGAGTCAAATAAAAATACATATAAAGAGAGTCATCCACTGTGTCAAATGTCATTATGTTGAGAAATTTGAGGACTGAGAATTCATGCTTGAACTTAGTAGTAGGGATAAAAGTCTGGTAGTAAGGATTCAAGAGACAATGAGAGGAGAGAAATTGGAGACAGCAAGCATAGATAGTCTTTTGAGGAGTTTTCCTGTGAAGGAGAGCAGAAAAATAGGGTAGTTGCTGAGAGGTTGTATGTTTGGTTTTGTTTTATTTCTTTTTATCTTAGGAGGAATTACAGCAAGTCCATGTGCTAATGGGACTGATCCAGTAGAAAGGGAAAATTCTGTCATGCGGAAGAGTGAGGCTGAAGAGATGTTCCCGCAGAGGCAATAAGGAATGAGGTCTAATACACAAGTATGGGAGTTGGCCTTCAAACAACTGATTCACAAAAATAATAGGGAAGAAAAATATACAAGTAAAGATGTTGAGTAGGTAGGTAGATATGGTGGGGAGGATATAGGGAAGTTCTCACTGAAATAGAAAGGAAAGTCGATGGGAATTAAATTGTGTCAAAATGATTGTGTTGCAAGTGTCGATAATAAACACTTCCTATATATCCATTCTTCTGTTGCTCAAATAGTCATCAACCTTCAACTTTAGAACAGTTTTGGAGAACATTAGTCATGGCTTTGATTGTCATGTGAGCCAGTTAGATTTGCTCTGTTAAGGCAATAAATCACAGCTAGAGGCTCAGTCAGCTGTCTTCAAAATCCCACCTTTGGTCATAAGGTAGATGAATCAGAGAAAACCCACCAACACTGTGGAAAAATGATTTAGCCATGCCCATCCTGATGCTGTGTCCCTAATAGCATCTTCCAAGAGAAATGGCCACACAGAGCTACCAATTATAAAGAAAATATTTGTTTTAGTTTCATGTTCCAGGGAATTATACAAAGCAGTATTTCCTCTCAGTAACTCTGTGCCCTCTGCAAAAAGTTTCCAGATCCAAAATAGTGACGACCAGTTTAAGTTGGGGCCATACTACAGGGAGGACACACATAAGAGGGTGGAGGGTAAAGATGAGGGAGGGTGAGGACACCCACCTGGCTGCTGAAGACCCACACCATCAGTGGGAAAACCAGTTTCACCCAGCTGGCTTTCACACACAGTTTCAACTTGTGAAAGGGATGGGAAAGGAAGTAGAAGGTCTGGGCAGCACCATGCGATCAGGAGGAAGTGCTGCGGAAAGAGAAGGCCCAGGGCAGTGAGTATCAGCATGAGTCCTTTGTGACCCACCCACCCAACCCTATGACCTTGGGCAAGTTTCTTCCTGCCTTTAAGCCTGTTCTTCAGTAGTAAAATGGGGATAATATCTACCTCAGAGGACTGCCACGAAGATTAAAGGAGGTTATGTGTCTAAAGTTCCTAGCATGTGGAAAACAACTAGCAAACAGCTATTCCTCTCTACCATGCTATTATTGGGAACATGATGCTCAACTTCACCCCAGCCTTAGGTGCTACGTATTCCAAAACCAATTACTGTTCATTCATTTATTCTTTAAATAAATATTTATTTATCTTTCACCTGGCTCTGAGATAAAATGGTTAGCACAAACAGGCAGGGTTCTTGCCCTTATAGAACTTATCATTATCTGTTGGGGAAACAGATATATTGATTTAAAAATCACACAGACATAAAACTGTAATTGAGATAGTGGTGTTTTGAGAGACTATAATAGGAGAATTTAACCTAGTCAGGGAAGACATCCCTAAAGGAGTGACCTTTGAACTGAAATCTGAAGGGCAAGTAAGCACTAACCAAGTGAGGAGGTAAATAAGTGTGCTATGCAGAGAGAACAACATGTGTAAAAGTCTTTGGCAGAAGGTACTGAAAATAGGCTAACAAGGCTGCAGAAAAAACAGACCACCACAGAAGACACAAGTGAAATGAAGTGTGACAAATGAAGCGAGGGCCAAACATGCAGACAGCCTGGTAGAGTGTCAACAAGGCTTTAATATACAATGACGAAGTCCTTTTAGAATTAAATAAGAGTGCTTCATGATTTTATCTGGGCAGTAATAGCATCCACTTTAAATTAGTATTTGGGGTGAAGTCTATTCCTCTCCTTTTGTACTTTTCCTTATTGTTTACATTGTTTATAATGTGTTTATCATTTTTTCACCAAAAAAAGAGCTTTTTTCTAAACTAACTTCATTGAGATATTATTTTATGACAAAATACACCTGTTTTAAGTGTACATCTCTATGAATTTTGACAAATTTATACCACCACCAAGATGGGGAACATTTTCATCACGCTAAAAATCCTTTCCCAGTCAATCCCCCTACCTCAGTCCCAGAAAACTATTCATCTGCTTTCTGTCACGCTATATTAGATTTGTTTTTTCTAGAGTTTCATGTAAATAATATACTATGTACTCTTTTGTGACTAGCTTCTTTCACTCAACGTAGTGTTTTTGAGGTTTATCCATTCCATTGCATGTATCAGTACTGCATTCCTTTTTATTGCTGAGTAATATTCCATTATATGGATCTGTTACAATTTGTTTATCCACTCAATTGTTGACGAACATTTGGGTTGTTTCCAGTTTTTTTGGCCATTATGAATAAAGCTGCTATGAATAGTATGGACATATGGTTTGTTTGGTTTTTTTTGAGGAAGATTAGCCCTGAGCTAACATCTGCCACCAATCCTCCTCTTTTTGCTGGGGAAGACTGGTCCTGAGCTAACGTCCGTGCCCATCTTCCTCTACTTTATATGTGGGATGCCTACCACAGCATGGCGTGCCAAACGGTGCCATGTCCACACCCAGGATCCAAACCGGTGAACACCAGGCCGCTGAAGCAGAACATGCGCGCTTAACCATTGTGCCACTGGGCTGGCCCCTGGATATATGTTTTCATCTGTTTTGAGTAAACACCTAGGAGTGGAATTGCTGGATCCTATGGTAAGTGTATATTTAACTTTGTAAGAAAACGCCAAGTTGTTTTCCAAAGTAGTTGTACAATTTTACATTATCACCAGTAGTGTATGCTGGGGATTACAGAAAGCAAAGGGCCCAGAGGAGGTGGGAAGCGGACCTTACCCCCTTGGCAGTCTAGACTAGCAACACAGACAATGACCTTTGGGTAATGGGCACACCCTTAGAAAATCTGCCATGGGGCAGAAACAATACCACCTTCCTGCTCATCATCCCCTTAATTGAATACCTGTCCCCTGTACTGAGCTTTACCCTTTAACAGGACTTCCAGGCAGGACACAAATTACATATAGAGACAAATACATGCAATTTATTCATTAAAATGGGGACACAATTTCGGTAACTCTGGAATGTCGTTACATCATCAAACTGTTTGTTTAGAAGTAAGTGTTGGCAGTACTTCTTGTAAGAGTCAAGAAAATTAGGCAGGTTTCACAATATAGAGTGTCTTTTTGGTCAGTAGTATTGCTTCAGGAAAAGTATTTCACACATCTTTCCAGTAACTTCCAGAAAAGTCAGCCAGCCAGATTTGGGTTCAAACTTCTTTACAAAGCCATTTTCCTATGAGAGAATAACATTTTAAAAATCAATGGAGACTAAGTTTGCTGGAATGAAAAGCAAAGAAATATTCATTTAAATAATGCAGATAGTTAATGTGGGTACTTTCACTAGTTTTATTCTGTTCATCCTCATCATTATTCTCTATCTCCAAATCCAGACTGCTCTAGAGCAGCACTGTCCAATAGAAATACATGCAAGCTACATATGTAATTTTAATTTTTTAATAGCCACATTTTTAAAAGTAAAAAGAAAGAGGCAAAATTAATTTTTAAAATACATTTAATTTATCTAGAATATTATTATTTCAATATGTCATCAATACGGAAATTGTTAATGAGATATTTTACAGTTTTTTGTATCAAATCTTTAAAATCCAATGTGTATTTTGTACTCACAGCATGTATTAATTCAGGCTAGCCACATTTCACTTGTTCAACAGTCACAAGTGACTGGTGGATACCACACTGGACAGCACAGGTCTAGACGATCGAAACTCTCATTTTTTTCTCTGTTTCAATTGTCTGGCATTGAAATATGCGTTTCTCTTTGTAAACTCTATTGTGCTGAGAGTCATGAAGACTCACAATAAAGCTAAATAAAATTAATGCCTCTGAGCCTATGAAAAGGTTATTGATTGTTCCTATTACAGTTCATGCTCTTTTTGATCAGACATAGTTTTTTAAAAATGTTAAAAATAGAATAACACAGTGAACTGGACACTATAATTAATTTATGATCTGTAAATATAGCACATCCAATTATAGAACTGAAAAGTACCTCTGATATCATTCAGCCTAATGCACTCTCTTATTTTGACAAATGAGGAAACTGAGGCCCAGAAGAAAATAAGTTACCTAAGGTTACCCAACTTCTTAGTGCCTGGACTGTACTGGAACGCAAACACTGTTCTTTTCACTCCATTAATTTCCAAACAACCAGCAAAAGGATTAGGAAATTGCCAAAATAATTTTTTTGAATGTTCATCAAGTAAACATTTGTTCTGCCTCTAGCTAGTTCCAGATTCTGGGTTAAACATGCCTTCAAGCAGTTCATAGCCTAGTGTGACTGATACTAAAAAGTAAACCAAACAAAGCTCTGATAAACGGAAGAGACTTGAGAGCTCTCCAGTGCTGTGGAATCATCTCTTGGAGCATCACCAGCAGTGTAGATTAATGCCAGTTAGTGGAATTTTCCATTTGAAAGATTGCCCAAGAAAGCCAGCTTCTGCCTACCTGTTCAATGTAAAGTCATGCTCTGAGACACATACTGTCATGCCCTAATGGAGGGAACCAATTGCCACTTCTTTCTTCTTCCCCTTCCCCTCCTGTCCTTACGCATATATTTCCCATACATTCTAGGTATGCATCCACTTCAATGCTCACCTTCCTAGAACTTTCATAAACCCCATATTAATGAAGCACTCTAAAATGATTTTTTATTATTGTAACAATTGTCACTGTTATCATTGAGCAGTTAACGTCATCTTACATACTTTCAACTTCTAAACTAAAGAGAATGAACAAAGGAAAAAACTGACAAACTCAGCCATATGAAGATTAAATTTTTTAAAAACTATAAAAAGCTAAAATTAAAGGAACTACAGAATTCACAATAGCTAAAACATGGAAGCAACCCAAGTGTCCATCAACCAATGAATGGATTACCAAAATATGGTATATTCATACAATGGAATATTATTTGGCCTTAAAAGGGAAGTAAATTCTGCAATATGCTACAACATGGATGAACCTTGAGGACATTATGCTAAGTGAAATCAGCCAGTCACAAAAAGATAAATACTGTATGATTCCACTTATATGAAGTACTTGAGTAGTCAAATTCATAGAGATAGGAAGTATGATGGCAGTTGCCAGGGGATAGGGTGATGGCAGAATGGTGAGTTATTATTTAATGGGTATAAAGTTTGAGATTACAAGATGAAAAGATTTATGGGGATGGATAGTCGTGATGGCTGCACAATAATGTGAATGTATTTAATACTACTGAACTCTACACTTAAAAATGGTGAAGATGGTGAATGTTATGTGTATTTTAACAGAAGAAAAAAAAAGAACAGACTAGGAAACTATTTACATTTGCCATGAAAGAGTTCATTCAAATGTAAGAGAAAAATCATCAAGCCTTTAACAGTTAGAGGCAAAGTCTATTGAAAAGAGAAATATGGAGGCCAGCCCGGTGGTGTAGTGGTTAGGTTCATGTGCTCCACTTGGGTGGCCTGTGTTCCCCAGTTCAGATTCTGGTGTGGACCTACACACTGCTCATCAAGCCATGCTGTGGTGGCATCCCACATACAAAGTAGAGAAAATATAAAAGAATTTGGCCCCAAAATCTATTTAAACAAAGGATATATAAGAATACTTGAGATTGTATCAACTCATTACTAGATCTTTACACCTTTTGGAAATGCCTTTGCCAAACTGAACAGTCAATCATCTACTTGTCTCTATATGCCCTTTTATTTGGCCTCAAATTGACCAGACCATTATTTAGAGCCAGAAGATCATAAAAAAATCAAAACTACTCAGTCAAACTCTTACGACTCGGGCTTTAATATCCTGATTATTGGGAAAGCACAGACTCTGACTGGACATCCCTACTTTCAAAGGGGCTTTCTTTTGGTATGAGAGGAGTTCTAAGAATTATATTTTTAAACTTCTTGGAATTTCCCAAATAACCTTCATAGTTGTATTGTAGATGACAGTTTACAAAGCACTCTTACAGAAATGTTCTTTAATCTTTTAACTTCCCTTCTAAGGTAGGTATTATTGTCTTCATTACATATTATGTGTATAATATATATTGTATTACATTATCTTATATTATATTATATACACTATATAAGGAATCTGAGATCTGAGTCTCAGGTTACCTCAGTGACTTACCCAAGATCATACCTCTAGTGAATGGGAAAAGCCGGACTCAAATCTCAGTTTAAATCACTCCATCAACAAGTATTTGTTGGGTACTTTCTATGCAATAGGCCCTATGCCAAGCATGGGGTATACAGTGGTGTATTAAGTAGACCTGACTCCTCCTGTGTGGAGCTGAGGGCTGAGTGTTCTTTCTACTCCGCCAGCACAGACACAGGGGAACGCTTTATTGAAGAGGGCGAAAGAAGGAAAGCCAGCTGGTTCAAAGGGAAACGTGATCCCAAAGATGAGAAATGTTTCACCTCTTGCACATTCTCATGGTGGGGTTTTTATTTCATCTTATTCTTTTAATTGAGGTGTAATTGACACACAACATTATGTTAGTTTCAGGTGTACCACATAATGATTCAATATTTGTATATATTGATCACCACAAGAAGTTTAGTTAACATACATAGTTACGAAATTTTTTCCTTATCACGAGAACTTGTAAGATTTACTCTCCTAGCTACTTTCAAATATGCAGTACAGTACTGTTAACTATAGTCGCCATCTTGTACATTACATCCTCATGACTTAGTTATTTTATAACTGGAACTAATGGTTTTTAAGAACCATTCTTGCCTCTTAAATGCTGAAGACAGCTGAAAAATAGCTCTACTTCTCCTATCAGATCTTGGGAGAGCCCATCCGTTTTCAGCACCTCAAATTGGCAAAGGGGACAGGAGGAAATAATGGTAAGTGTGGAAGAGGAAGAAAAAGAGAAGTAAGAAGCAGTAAACAAAAGATGGAAAAAAAAGAAATAAAGGAAGAGAGGAGAGAGGGAGGGAGGAAGAAAGAAAGAAGGGATGGAGGAGGAAAGTAACTCAAACTGATAAAAATGAGAAAGAGAATAAGTTATGAGATTATGAGTCCCATTATTGATACACTGGTCTTATTTTTCCCTTTTGGGCATCTGTTTTCGATGGTGACTAATATCTAACTGTAGTTGATCATATTGTTTATAGACACTAAATATATTTGATCAGGGAAGTTAGACAATACTACTACTACTGATAACAACAGAAACCCTAAACTTGTATGGAGTATTTATTTGCAGAAACTGTTCTATGTGCTTTATATATAATATTAACTTACTTAATCCTTATTCCAGTCCTAGGAAATAGGTAGCAATATTCTGCCCATTTTACAGATGAGGAAACAAGGCTTAGAGAACTTAAATAACTTGTTTACATCACACAAGTAGTAAACACTGGAGCCTGGAAATGAACCCAGGATCATCTGATTCAGAGTTGATGTTCTTAATATATGTGTTGTCCTCACATACCACATGATTTTTTTTAGTTTCCTTTTGGGGGGGGGAGGTGAGGAAGATTGGCCCTGAACTAACTCTGTTGCCAATCTTCCTTTTTGTTTTTCTCCCCAAAGCCCCAGTACATACTTGTATATCCTAGTTGCAAGTCCTTCTAGTTCTTCTACGTGAGATGCCACCACAGCATGGCTTGATGAGCGGTGTGTAGGTCCGCACCCAGGATCCAAGCCAGTGAACCCTGGGCTGCCGAAGTGGAGGGTGCAAACTTAACCACTCGGCTGCAGGGCCAGAACCCTCACATACCACATTCTTGATTCAAAAGTTTTCATGAAGTCTCTGGCCACTTTAAGAATTTAATTAAATTCCAGTTGTAGGTTAATTGCTCTCCTCATCTTTCATTGTAGACATGCATTTTTCATTTGGAGCCAATGACAAGCAAATATGGATGACTATAGACAGGACAGTAGCTCATGTGCTTTATAATCAGTGATTTTGGGGGTGTTTTCAGGAGGGTGGAAAGTGGGAAGCTGGTGCTTGTGTCTTGATAACTTTGTAAAGTGCCTCTTCTACTCTTCCCCTCTTCCTGTGAGCCACCTACTGCTAGCATAGGTGTGTAACTGTGTCACTGCCTCTGAAATGAAGCATTCAGGAGTAAGTTCATTCATTAGAGCAGATTTGTCAACATCATTATGAAAAGAAGATACCACTTTGTCATGCTAGTATGTACTGACTCAAAAACACACTGCTTTTCATTAACAGAATCAGTGTCGTGTGTGAGCTGGGAAAAGAATATTGAGGTTGCTTTGAAATGACATCTTAAAAGAGTGTTTTCTATCATGTCTAAGACCTAAGCTATTCAGGTGTAAAAGTCAAGAGCTTAAAACCTACATCAGGACCTCATGAAGGTTGAGGTGCATGTGTGGGCGCAAGTGTGTATTTATATCTTCACTCAAGATAGGGTCATCCTAAGGCTGGCCCAATGGCGTAGTGGTAGTCCTAGCCCACAGAGAACTTACAACTATATTTCTTGACAGTCCAGAGAGGGCTTCCAAACTAGTATTTCTCACATGTGGTCTCTGTGCTAGAGAACATTTGCCTTCACTTGAAACCTTCACAGTACAGCTGAAATTTCCATCAGTCCTTTAGTATAGCTTTTTACAGCCAACCAGAAGAAAATATGACTAAATATCTGACATGCTTCCTTCAGCCCCAAGAAAGCTGAGTTAGAAAAAAGAGTTTCAGGAAGAAAAGGTGATTGAGAAGGGCAAGTGGTTCCATAAGCCCGATCGTTACACAGGAAGGCCTTAAACAAAATGCAAAAGACATAAAGTGAAAGATTAATAAATACGATTGCATCAAATTAAAAACATTTGTAATGATTGAAGACATCTATAGTTTTAACAGACAACAAATTAGAAGATATCTGCCACATATATAAAAATAATTTTTTGTTTTTGCTGTTTTTGTTTTTGGTTTTTTGGGGGTTTTTTTGAAGAAAATTGACCCTGAGCTAATATCTGCTGACAATCCTCCTCTTTTTGCTGAGGAAGACTGGCCCTGAGCTAACATCTGTGCCCATCTTCCTCCACTTTATATGTGGGACACCTGCCACAGCACAGCTTGACAAGCGCTGCATAGGTCTGCACCCAGGATCTGAACCAGCAAACCTGGTGCCGTCAAAGCAGAACAGGCAAATTTAACCACTGTGCCACTGGGCCGGCCTCTATAAAAATAATTTTATGCAGAATATTCAAAGAATTCCTACAAATCAATGAGAAAAAGATAAAAGGAAAATGGGCAGAGAATACAAACAGGCAATTCCCTGAATAAGAATTACGAATGATCAATAAACATGAAAAGATGCTCACCATGAAAAGATGTTTAATCTCACTAGCCATCAAGGAAACAAAAAAACAAGATAAAGTCGGTATATTTTTTTAACCCAAAAGAGTGGGGAAATTATGACAGATTGCTAATACCTAATGTTAGTCAGCTGGGGCTGGGGAAATGCGTGCTCCAAAAGCTGCTGCCGGGAGTCTAACTGGGTGGAGCCACTTTGGAGGGCAAAGATCTAGTAAGTTAAAAAATCGACATGGACCAAGACCCAGCAATTCTATATCCCAGTATCCACCCTAGAAAAACACACGCACAAAGGAAGGTATGAATAAAAATATTCAATGAAGTATTGTGATAGCAAACTCTGGAAATAGCCTAAATATCCATCAGCTAGAAATGGCCAGACATTTAACAGCATTTACCTACAACAGCACTCTTTAAAATACTATTTTAAATGCCCTTGGGTGAAAAAAAAGCAGAATAAGTACCATGTACTATTTATACATATAAATTTTTTTTTTTACAAATAAGTACTATGGATATTTTCTATGGATATATTCAATACGCATGTTTTGCATGCAAAATAATTGATAGCAGTGGTTACCTCTGGGCAGAGGGGAGGGCCAGCATTAGGAGTTGGAGAGAGGATCCATGGGACATAAGTGCTTTACAAAAGTAAGTATTAAGTGTATTGGGATATAAAGAAAAGTATAAACATTCAGCTGTGAAAGGCCCCTTATCAACTTGAGTTCTAACATAGACCTCCCACACGGTCTTGGCTTTTTGAGGCATTGATAACAAAGTGAATTTTTATTTGGAAATCCTTGTATAAAGTTTCTTGCTGGTGATGCCGTAAATTATTTTTTTTTATCAACAAGCTCATTCTTGTAATTTACACTGTTAGGAATGAAAACTGGAACCAAAAGTGTTTTCTAACTATAAAGTTCTAGGATTCATTGGAAATGAGCCAGAAATTTCTTTTTATTTTAAAAATTAAAAACTTTTAAAACAAACCTCCCAAAGAAAATACAATTCTTAGGTAGATTTTTTTTTTAATTAGCAAGAAAACTGTCAATTCTTATTTCAAAGTAAAGAAAAATGAAGAATATTTCTATCACACATACCCAGCCTCCATTTTGCCTTATCCATTCTCCTGTGTTTTTCGTTATGAACTCAGCAACAAAGTAAGAAATCTCCTTGTAAGTATCCACATCTGGGGCAATTCGCTCTGGTAGAAGTTTCTTGATGAGAATACCTTCAAATGCAAATATGGTCATAATTCTTCCCCAGTTAATGATGCCATCTTCAAATTGCTTTTCCATCACTTGATTGAATATTGTTCTGGCAGCATCTATGGACACAACATGAAAATTGTCCAAGCATGGTTTCAAATTCTTCTCTACTTCATTTTGAACTGAGAAAGCAATGTCTTGTAACACTCTGGATGTTTTGCTTGGACCAGATCCAGGTTGTGGTATCTGCAGGACGTACTTCAGGTAGTCCTGGGCCAGCATGTGAATATATCCAAACTCACAGTCGGTCATCTTCTGCCTGCTGAAGAACGAAGTCTTGAGCTTGTCGTTCACCTGGAAGTGGCTAAGGCAATTTGAAGCAAAAGCTCACAGAGCTTGGCACGATATGACACATAATGATATCCGGAGGCTGGTGGAATTTCTGTTTGCATCACTTGATAGTATCCTTCCTCCTAGTCACTTTCATGCGTAGGCTGTATGTGAAAGAGAAAGTTTAAAATGTGAAAGAGGAAAATGTTTCAAAAAGAAGGCCACTTCCTCATCCTGCAAATGATTAGTTGAGCTTTCAAAGGCTTAAATGAAAGGTTGTGGAGAAATTAGAACCCTAGTTCATTGGTGGTGAGAATGTACACTGGTTCGGCCCCTGTCAAAATTTGGCAGTTCCGCAAAAAGTTAAATATAGAATTAGCATTTGACCCAGTAATTCCACTCACAAGCATATACCCCCAAAGAACTGAAAACGGGTACTCAATACTTACGCACAAATGACTGTTCACAGCAGCAGCATTTACAGTAGCCTAAAGGCAGAAACAACCCAAATGTTCATCAACAGGTGAATGGATAAACAAATAATGGAATGTTATTCAGCCATTAAAAGGAATGAAGTGTTGATATACCTTACAAGATGGATGAACCTCAGAAACATTATGCCAAGTGAAAGAAGCCAAATGTAATAGTGTGATTCCATTTATATGAAATATCCAGAAGAAGTAAATCCATAGAGACAGAAAGCCAACTGGTGATTGCTAGGGACTGAGGGGTCGGGGGAGTAACAGCTTAATTGGTATAGGGTTTTATTTTGTGATGAAATGTTTTGGAACTACATAGAGGTGGTGGTTGCACAACCTTGTGAAGACACTAAACAGCACCGAATTGTTCACTTTAAAATGGGTCATTTTACATTACGTGAATTTTACCTCCAAAAAAAGTCCTAAATGCAGCCCAGTGGCTAAACTGGATGAATGAAAATTTGGAATGGAGATTAGCAAGCAGGCTGGGTAACAGGGAGCAGGGCCTCTCAAGTGTTGCTCTGGCAATACTGCCCTTGACACTAGTGTACTTGAGTAAGGATGATATGGGGAGGGGAGGCGAAAATATCTCCTTTGTTCTTCACTTCCCATTTACTCTAGAACTTTTATAGATAGAAAACAAAGCCAACACCATTAATTTATGTATGGATCAGAAATTGTGGGACCAGAAAGAACTGGACCTGGAGTCAGAGGACCCAGACTTGGTCCAAATCCCTCTTCCCTTACTCACTGTATGCCCTAGGTTTATAAAATGAGACGATACATATTGACATCAGAGGGTTGAGGTGAAGTGACATAAGATGACCTATGAAGCACCTCTCACCTTGCCTGGGACTAAGTAGGTGCTTAATCAATGCTAGTTCCCCATCATTCTTTCATGGACTAATGAGGAACTTCCCACTAAGGGCGTAACTTCATAAGTGCACAGTTTGAAGTGAAATGCAAATCTGTCATTTTATTTAGCTTTGGCAACAATTCTAGGAAACAGTTGACAGACACGGCGAAATTACTGGCTAAGAGGAGCGCTGGGGATTTCAAGTCTCCTCCCCAGAGTACATGGCAATTAAGGCAGTTAGAGAACCACATCCCTGTCTGTTAGCTGCATCTTTCTGTTGACTGAAGAGTCAGTGTTGCTGGTAGGCAAGAGTAGTGGGTGGGAGAAAGAGGAGAAAATTCAGAGTCCCTGGAGAAACTGAAGTCACTTTTTTCTTCTATCCACATATGGAGTGACTTTGATTCTTACATTAGTGTCTATGAACAGCTGCAAACAGTAAAAAAAATTCACATATAACTTGTATTCCTGAACTATCGCCAAAGGGCTAAGGAGGAAGGGAGAAATGCTGCTTAGGGTGCTGGTTAATAGGAACTTGGGGCAGCCATGAAAATGCTCCTCTCGGACCTCATACTGCAGGAAAGTAATTAACTAAGGGTACCAGCTGCTGTGCTCTGAGTCTACCACCGACTTTGCACTGAGGCCACGCTCCCCACAGGCTGTTCCCAGTCAGTGACTGAGCAAGGCAGGAATACCAAGACCAATTCCTGAAAGTCAGCCTCCTTCGAAGGATGCCTTTGCTTCAATGACTTGCCACCAGCCTTGTGGAAACTTTCTTAGACTGCACTACAGCCTAAGACTCTTCTTCCCCAAGCTTTCTTCCTTCTCCCTCTTCTTCACCAAGGTCAGCCCTGCATTGTGGTCTGACATCCCTCCCAGCCTCTTCCACCTCCCTTCCCATTTTCCCTCACAGGCATTTCCCCCAATAAATCTCTTACACATCTAATCCTCTCGGGATTTTCTCCTGGGAGTCATCAGGAGATGACTGACATCAGGCCTGTATAGAACAAAGGAGCATACAGACATGTGGTCAAGCCACTTCTCCAGGATTTCCCCTGGGAAGCTCCTCCCATCCCCTCTTAGACTACGTCTGTTGACCCACAGGAGCACGAAGCCAAGAGCAGACAGCTTTCTCTCCTCAAATCATCATTAAGCCTCATAAGAACCACCAAAATGATGGGAAAATTTATTTTCTCCCCGGCCCCATTACATTCTCATGATGATGAGCATTTCTGGAAAAATAGTATAAGCATGTAGTTTAAGAGTTGCAATTAAGCATTCCAAGGTCAAGCATTCCTACCTTTTCTCTCTCTCACCAGTGCCCAAGTCTGGACCCAGGAAAGGCAGATAGTTGATCTTTATTGAATAAATTAAATGCATTTATATCACAACCGGGGCAACTACATTTAGGGCTCTATATTCCTGATCTTCTGGATCCAAAAAGGAGTTGCTTTAAAAATTCTTAAATATTATAGCCTGCTTTAGTTTATTGTGAAGAGTTTCTAAACAATCACTTTTCAAGGATAGACAGGCGAGAGAAAGACACAGTCTTTTTCCAAAAAGAATTGTTTATATAAAGTGGAAAAAGATGAGTGGGGTGGGGTGGGGTGGGGTAGAGGGAAGTGTGGAACAGAGACAAGTAGCTGACCATGAACCAGGTGTGAAGATAAAGGGAGGTATCCCGTCTCGATGCCACTATAATATGGATCTGCATTCACTGGAGTATAGCACACAGGCCATAAGGACTAAGGCATGGTTCCCCAACCCCTGAGCCGTTCTTTCCACACATGGAATTTTCTTTTAAATTAGGGGTCCACCCCAAGTACACTCTGAGAGAGTCAACCTGAATGGGTGGGGTCTGGAAACCATATATGTGTTCAAGTATTCCATAAGCATACACTCAGATGCTGCTGAGTACCAGGGACTGTGCTAGGTGCTGGAGATAAAAATTTCTGGCCCTAAAGTATTTTCAGTCTTGGAGAAACTGTGCCATATAATAGGCAGTCAAAGGAACTGCAAAAGAGAATAATTAGAAGCAGTTGCTGCAGTACCACTTCAAATACGAAGACCCTTCCTGGGACCCATTCTGGGGCCATGAAGCCAGCTTTGTGGCCGTGTGACAATTCTAAGGTTCTGGAAATGCACATGAGTCACACTGATCTATTATGAACTGAGAGGGAGAGACTGATTGGGGAGGGAATTATGATAGAAGATGATTTCCCAAATCTGTCCACACCTAAAAAGTACCTATGGTCTGACCAAGGTTTTCTCTATGCTCTTTTTGTCCGGAAGTTTCTACCTAGAAGCATAGAGTCCTGGCTAGGGCTGAGGGAACTACTAGTGTTTGTCACGAGAATAACAATAAGAAGAGTATGAATCATCCTAATAATTAACAACTTCTTCCATTTGTAAAGTGCTTTGGGCTACATTGTTGCAATTATCACATACACATATGTGAACTACAGCCTCATGTCTATTCGTTATGCTTACATAAATTTATACACATATGTTTCAGTTACCTATTGCTTTCTAACAAACCACCACAAAATTTAGTGACTTAAAACAATAACCATATATTTTGCTCATGAATGTGAAATTTGGGCAGAGCTCAGTAGGGATGACTGGCCTGTGCTCCGCAATGTCTGGGGTTGAGCTGGATGACTCAAACAGCTGGGACTAGAACAGCTGGGATTAGCCAGGCATCTCTCTTAGTGTAGTCTCAGGATCTCTCTGTGTGCTGTCTCCAGTCTGGCAATCTCAAATTGGTCATACTTCTTACATATGGCTCAAGATCCCAAGAGCAAGTATTCCAGGGGTAAATGTAGGAGATGAAAGACCTTTTATAACTTAGCTTAGAACTCACAAAGCATCATTTCTCCACTGGCAGAAGTAGTCACAATCCAGCCCAAATTCAAGGGGAAGAAATATAGACCACTTTTACAGATGGGAAGAATGCCAAAGAATTTGCAGCCAAGTTTTAAAACTGCCACAATGTGCAACTCACATGCAAGGTCACTTACATACACAATCATGTACAATTTAATCAATGTCATCCTCATACAGTCCTTTGAGTTGGGCAACTCTAATCTTGAGGTGATCCAGGAGGCACTTCAAAGCCATGCTGCCGGCTTCTTCTCCCACCAGGCTACACAGGGCTGAGAATCCCCTGGATTAGAACCCTCTGAAGATAGAAGTCTTCTCAGTGGGTTGAGGCAAGATTACCTGGAGAAGATCTCATTTTATCCTCCTTCCTGATTGCAGGGATCTCATTATGTCATTAATTCAGCTCCTGCTCTGACCAGGGAGCGGAAAGCAATGAGTGACAAAGGGTAAGTTTTGATGGGGAACATGAAGGAAGAACTCTGAAGCTACTCTGGCTGATGAGTTGCCAGAGGAATCCAAGTTCCAGGACAAGGGTCCTGGGTACGTGACCTCAGAGAGAGACTGCTGAGGTCAACTTCTCTTTTCCCCAAAGGCAGAAGTTGGGTGGAAACTTGGTGGGTTTTTGACTGCTTCAGAGGAGGTGGCTCAGGGGAACCGCCAGCCCTGGTTTGCTCTTTAGCTCCTCTGAGCTTATCATGACTACTTCCCTTTTCCAAGGTCTGGAAAATTCTCTACACAGAACAATGGTCTTCAATGGTAACATCATTGTAACGCAAAGGAGAAGGGGGAAATACACAAGAAGCCACCTGCATGCGCCCCTGTCATCTCCCTTGGTCCAGCAGGGAGCCTTGATGATAGAACACAGTAGAGGCAAGTCCACTCCTCATAAAGAAAAGCCAGCTCCTGGTGGGAGCTTGGTTTCTATCTGAGGAGACTAATTTCCAGGAAA